TGGCATTACGTGGATCTTACAATCACAAACTCGCCAGTCTGATGCTAGTCAGGGGGTGTAGGTAGACTAATACCTATTTTGCCTGCCGCCTACTGCTTGCTTATGACAAAAAGTGTAATTCATTTAGTCCTTTCCCGTACAACTTGCTAATATCAGTGATAGACAGAAATCAGAAGGTCTCCGATGACGTGCCCACTGCTCCGATCATTCATGAGCCTTCAGTTTGACCTATCCTGGCCGTCCCGGAACGAGCCCCCAAAATGTTACCGGTCTCAAACAGGGAAGGATGAGAGCAAGTAACTGTAGGAAATGATGAGATAGACACAGGTTATAATCTGCAGCGTTCTGGCACTTTCTTTAATGGCTTTTTCTTCTTTTTCTTCTTTTTTTTTCTCTTCTTGCAAATAACAGGCAAGTATAACACTTTTGAAATCATAACTTTTAACAATGTTCCTTAGCGGTCATGCTTTCTGGACAATCATCTAATTGGCAAATTTCCAGTGTCCTACCTATAATTAATTTGGCTGGACAAATAAAAAACTTTAAAGTCATTTTTCTCAGTTTCACACTCTAGCGAGTTAAGGTCTTTTGCCTTTGTAGGGCAGTATAGCAAAGAGGAAGAGATTATCGGTTCATGTGCCACTTGAGCTGAGGTGTTACCGGTCTCAAACAGGGAAGGATGAGAGCAAGTAACTGTAGGAAATGATGAGATAGACACAGATTATAATCTGCAGCGTTCTGGCACTTTCTTTAATGGCTTTTTCTTCTTTTTCTTATTTTTTTTCTCTTCTTGCAAATAACAGTCAAGTATAACACTTTTGAAATCATAACTTTTAACAATGTTCCTTAGCGGTCATGCTTTCTGGACAATTAAATTCACAGCATTTAAATTTATGTCCCTTAAGTCTGTAAATGTAATACATTTGAACATTTCTCTTTGGTTGTACATTTTAAGCAACAATAAACATCTGGATACAACTAAACACGTGTCTTGTCTCTTACCATCACTTTATGTGTTCACTCACTTTCATTTGTCTTTAATGTTTCACTTTTTTCTATTTTAGATATAGTGAAATTCTATACAAAGAGAAATCAGAATCACTACAATGCTACAACACAATCAATTTGATGGAATAAACAATTAGTGAGAATCAACAGTCTTAATTGATGCAGGTATACATGATGTTTTTAACCCTTACGAGTGTACATTTTAGAGAAAACCACCATTTTATGTTTCAACTTTTCCACATAACCGAAATGAAGTGACTACACTCAATATTGCACATTGTCCAGCTCCATCTGGAAAATCTATCAAGATTACACAAGGAATATAGCAAGATTGTTTCATATCTCTTACTTGCACTTCACCTTTTTAACAGTATCATGAATTGTAAACGCTGTTTACTCCACTAGAACTGCATTGACTGAATCGCAAATAAACTAATCTTTTTAAAACTCGACAATGACTTTTACCGTACAAACATAATCTCTGAACCTTTATGAACCTCTTAAGTTTCAATATTGATAGATATTGGTCTATAAAACCCATTTTACATACCTGTAGGAAATGATGAGATAGACACAGATTAGAATCTGCAGCGTTCTGGCACTTTCTTTAATGGCTTTGCCCTTTGGCCAGAACGTAAAATCCTCATCACTCTTGTGTAATGCGCCACCTACAGGCATTTTACAGAAGACACTTAAACTCATGTAACATTAGAACACATTTTTAAAGAGTCTCTTAAAAAATAATCTGAAGAAAAAGAGGGAAAAAAGTATTTTGGGGTTCCCATTATTACTCAGTACTTTTATTTT